TAATGATATATAACAAGCGTACCATTCCTTTGATGAGTTTCTGAAGAAGATAATAATGCCTCAACTTTTCTGACTCATAACATGTTAATTTATATGTTTAATGCTCCAATCTCGTTAATGTAATGAGAAACAAAAGATCTTTTTGTAAAAAAATAAAAAAAATTTTCTTCAGAATACTAGTATGCTTCACCCCCTGTTCGCTGAGGCTTCCCAACCCCCGAGATTGCTGTACGATCTTATATTCTAACTCATTTAAAATGTATTCCAGATTAAAATCTTAAGAACTTAAAGCAACTATTAAGACATTTAAAACTAATTCCTCTTCAAGGAATTGAACATTTTTGTCAATACTAAGTTATTTAAATTTTAGAAAAAATTATTGAAATAAATGGCAAGAAATTAAAAAAACTTGCAGAAAAACATTAATTATGTTTTCGTCAATAATTACGTCACGTCAATTTCAAAGGATACGTGAAACGTGGTTTTTAATGGTGATAGAGACGTTACAAAGTCGAACATACTATTGCAATCTCCCCCTGGGTTCAATCTATTAAAGTGGTCCCTCCTTAAGGATTCAGTTTCGTTAAAAAGTTTGAGGTTAAAAGGTGTTTCAATACAATTTTAGAACATATGTAATTCAACACAGATTTCATATAGTATGGTTTTAGAAATATTTAATTGCATTTTATTCATGAGAAAAACCATGAAACCCTTCCACAGTAAGCCTGAGGACAAAGGGACTACCATGATACATATTTCACTTAGGATATTTTGCAGCACTACTGAGGTCGGTGCGAACCGAGTGTAGAATTCGTAGCGTCCAAACATCACTGTGGTTCGAACCTGGGTAACTTCTTTGAGAAGTGAGTGCTCTATCCCCCGAATTTCTGCAGCTCTATTGCTTATTTTATAACCGACATTGAATAGCCGACCTAATTTTTAGGACTTCTTATTCGCATATCGGTTGTCGTGGTAGCATTTCTAATGAGTATTGAGTAGAAATTGCTAAAATTAATTTAAGATACTTTCTTTTCATCTCCACTAACAAAATCATTATTGTGCAAAAATGCGTCAAAATTGCTCCAAAATAAATATTTGCCAAATTTGAAAATCCATGTATTCAAAATGGTAAAAGTATGTAGGGATAGGTTAGGTAAGGTTACAAAGATCCAATGGCTTCTTGGAGCTTTTCACGTACATACCTTTAAATTTTACCAAGATATTTATTTAGTTGTGCAAGATATTTATTAGTCATTCTAGAAAAAGCATAGATATACATTTACGATGGGTTGAAATTAGCTAATTTTATCACTACATGCATAAAAGTGTTTGAAGTTTGAAAAAGTTTGGCAAAGTCTGAAAAAGAATATGAAAGCAAATTTAGACCATATTGTATTAGTTTGCTGCTCATTTTAATATTATTAATAATTCAGTCTTCTTATCTTTCAAAGAATGAGTCAATATTGATTCGTATGGCTAAAATAATGTCCACGTTTAACTCCCACGGAGCCGAAATGTTTGTTAAACAGTAATTGAAATACATCCCAAATATTGCATATTTAGTGCAACACTAGATAGTTCTTCGGTAAAAGTTTTTTTTTTTATTGCAGTCTGCATTTTCTATAGCATCTGTGGGTTTAGAAATAGAGCAGAAATTCTTACAATTTAATTTTAACATTTTGCTATTGTCCCACCAGAAAAGCTGATATATATATAAAAGCTGATAGGATAAGTATCTTCATTTGAGTAAATTACTTCTAAACAAGATTACTGCGTTAAACAGTGTAACGCTTTTACACGCATTACTGTGTTTGGCTATCATCTAGTTAATACAAATCCTATACGTAGAAATTTTCTTTGCTGTGGAAAATAAAGTTCGTTGACAAATTAGATTCGTTTTTGGTTCATCAACTTTTTTACTCCAAAAATGTCCAATAAATACAAAAAAATTGAACTAAGTTAAGAATCATAATACATTTTGATGTCGTATGATAACAATGATATTGGAGCAATTCAAAGACAAAAAAAGTAGTTCTTAAAAAAGTAGCATAACTGAAATTAATAGTTACACACTTTTTTATCTCACTAGTCACTCTAAGAAGTCATTGCAGAAGTTGTTGTTTGGCTTACATTAACATGCTTCAAAATAGCTTTTACAAATCCAGATTGTTAAGATAGTTTTACGAAGTAAATCTGCGTCAGTTAAGGCCAAAATTAAATAACTTGTCTATTATATTAACTATCTATTATTATATGAATAACTTATCTATTATTATATAAATAGCTGTATATATTAACTATGGTCTCAATAAAAACATTAAGCAGACATTCTTCATAAATATCAAACATGAATTTTGCACTCAAGTTATCATCTAAAATAACTGTCTTTATAATATTTTTTTATTTATCATTTCTAAATTGTTATCATATACTAAATAAGATAATTTGTTGGCAACTAGTAGGCTACACACCATGGATCAAAAATTAGAAATCTTTACTTAAGCATAGGTGTAAGACACATTTTTCTGTTAAATTTACTTTTCAGTTTTCTATTTTTAATAAATGCGAGAACTATAATTTAAAGTCTCGAATTTTGTGCAAATCATTACCAAAAAAGAACAAAAATATAACAAATAAATGATTTAAACACTTTAGATTTTGGAGTTTATCACTGAAATTATCACTTTTTTTTCCTGTTTTAAACTGAAATAATTTTGCCATAAATTGGAAATGTGAATTTACTTTTGCAATAGATTTTTTCTCATTTTTCTCATTCAAAAATCTTCATATAAAAAAAGATTAATCTGATTTGCTTGATATTAAAAATTTCAGCTTAATATAAATATATATCATTTGCATATTGCTGTTCCGAACTTTTCAGTCTTTGTTGCGTTTCATTGTTTTAAAAAACTCTAGGACAACAATACTTAAGAGAGTTAAATGAAATTTTATTCCTCTGTATATTGTTTTAATGGTTCTTCTTAAACATTGTTGCCGAAAATGACCATTGTTAGTCACACCAACAAAGTAACAAAAAATATTGATTCCTCATTCTTATTTGAGCTTTTATAAGTGAATAACGTCTTTTTTGACTAGTGACTTATAATTTGTGAAAATGAGTGAACTTTTTCGTTTTGCTGTGCTTAATCACTGGCAAAAAGAGTTGATAAAAAATCCAAGGCCTTACCGTAAGCATGAAACCTATTAATTTCATAGATTTTTAGCAAAAGATAAATTTCGAAATATCAAAAAATCTTGATTAGGATCTATTTAAGACTTTTTGGAACTAAGCAGGAAGCGGCGATATACAATATTAGAAGTCGGTATTATTTTGTGTGAGACAATCCCCAACTTCCACAACTTGTGATTTCATTCATTGCATAAATGTTTTAATTTAATCCAGTTTGAAAATCCTTGAAACTGAATTGAATTAAAGTATGAAAATTCTTCCTCAAATTGCAAACGGAAGTATTAAAATAAAATGAAAAACTTCGAATAGAAATAATACAAGAAAAATATGAAATAACTGCTATTATTTGTACAAACACAAGTATATTATTAACTTATAATGGTCCGAAGTATTTTAAAACTATTTCATATTCTGAAGAAAGAAAATAATTCTTTAACGCTGCAATTTATTTTTCCTTCATTAGAAATTAAAATGATAATACACTTTTATAAAGGTTTTCATCATCGCAAAACATGTTGCACTACACTGTAAATCATTACAGATCAAATTTAGGTAAAAAGTACCGGCACTTTGGATGTATCATGCGTAAAATACATGAGAATCTGAACGACAATACTTTTTATCATGAAATCCATTTTTTCCGGAACATCTCAAGGATCAAAATTTTTTTGCAATAATTATTACCTTAAAATCACTAAATCACTTATATTAAATAAGGAATCATTTTTCTTAAATAAATATTACAGTAAAATTACGGCATAATATTTTACGGTAAAAATGGGCTTTAGTGTAACATGTGTTTTACGAATAATGCACCAAAAGTACCAATACTTATTTCCGTCATTTCATTCGGAATTTTTGATTGCAGAAATAATGCTATTTGTTTAAAAAAAGAAAACATAATATGATTTATTTAATGAAAAATAAAGTTGTAAACTTTTGAAATTATATGCATTATAAGCTAAAAGAGACATTTTTATTTCATTAATTAAATTAAGTACCTAAAAGCAATAAGCAATTGTAGTTTAAAGGGACATTTTGTCGCTTTTAATTATAATAACTATCACCTAATTATGTAGTCTTATCACATTTCTTCATATTTCAATCAAACCTTAAACAATAAAAAAGAGTATTTAAGTTCATTTTAATTCATGTAAATTGTAAGTGTATTTTAAACTGAGGAATGTTTCGTTATTATACCGTTTTGCGAGTCGTACTAACCGGTTTCTATTCGATCTACAATATATATCTACAAGTATATATATCTACAATATATATCACAACAATATAAGTAATAACTTATTCATTAATAAGCATGATTGGTATTACTAATAGTTAAATGATATTTTTGAGGCCCCCGAAATCGAATAGTACTAGTATTTCTAATGTATTCATTAACAAAACATTTAAATTATTATCCAAGTGGAACGGAAGTTTTAAAATTAAATTAAAATCATCTAAAAGATGTTTAGAAAAAAATTGTTGTTGTATGTGTTTTCATAAAGAGTCATGACTTTTGGATAAATTCAGATAGATCACTTTGTTGCTATGCATTTCAGTAAAATCTTTTTTTTAGGTTCTTTTTTAATTTTAAGCAATTACACATTGGTTAAAAACAACAATTCTTAAATGTAGTATAGACAATGTTGTATAGATCTATATTAAATAGTTTTTTTCTTCCTCATAGAATGAGCTACGTTATTCAGTTATTATTATTCCAATTGTTCTTGAAAATTTAGTTACAATTATTCAACTTGTGGTTGTTATCCAGTTATTACATTTTTGTTACCCAAATTCAAAATAGTCAAAAATAAGCTAAATTAAAATTTAATTAATAATCTTTTTTTAGCGCCTGGATTTCTTGCAGAGGACACCAGTAGTAGTTCATCTGGAACAGATGGGTAAGTATTTGATTTAGATTGTGAAATAATATAATTTCTTTAAGGAAAAAATGGTAATTTTTTAAAGTTAAAGACATAAATAAATAAAAAGACGAATAAATAAATTAAAAAGAAAGAAGGAAAGAAATGCAAAGAAAAAAATCCTTTTGAAAAAGTATAAAGAAACTGTCGTATTTAAATAATTTAGATTAAATATAATTATTTGAAAAGAATATTGCATTAGATATTGTACTTAGAACATGTGAAGAAAATATCAAATGTGAATATCGATATGAAATGTTAATATGAGAATGATAGCAATGTGAAGAGTTGTTTTTAACAAAATTTATTTCTTTAATATTGACTTGACATTAAATTAGTCTTTATAATTTCTTAAATATGAGTTGAGCCAAAAACTGATGAAAGATGACCACCTTGAGATAATTAAGTATTCTGTCTATAAATATCTAATTGATAAATATATTATTTTCTTTCTTTTGTTTCAGCTACGAAATGCTGGGGGTTATGGGTGAGATAGTGAGTGAGGAGTCAAATTTGACTTCTGATGAGGATGACGCTAATGATAGGTACTATTTAAAGTTATTATCTTTAAGACATCATAACATTTGTATTTTAAACTACGTTAAATATTGAACAATGTTGCATATTAGTACACAAAATTATACCATGGAAAAGAAAAAGTGATAAGGAATTCGAAAGTTTTATTTTTTTGCATTTGGCACTTTTGTCAAAAATAAATTGTGTTTATTAGTTTTTAATTTTTATTTAAGAATTCATACTATTAGCAATAGAATGAAAAATAAATCAAGGAAATCTATCGTAGATAACTTACGATGTTTCTTTTTTAATTGCGTGGCAGAACTGTACTTTTGCATACATATTTATATATATTGGAATTAGTAAAAAACATGCATATAAAAAACTTTTAAACTATGCAAATTAAATTAATTTGCTAATTAATTGATTTGATAGGTAAATATAAAAGGTTTATACGATCATAAATGGGAAATGCAAAAAAAAAATGCTTAAATTCTCACAAAAAAAGGTTTATTACTTTATTCTTTACTATTAAATATGTTCATGTAAGTCATGTATTAAAATTGAAGTAACTATATAATGTGATAATTTCATTTTTTACTTTTAGCGATGATATGGAAGAACTGAGTGCAGAAATAGAGCATTCTGAGTCATCTTCCACGAATGATGAAGATGGTGAGATTTTGGATAGGTAATCTAGTTATCTTTTACTTTATTATTATTGCGGTAATTGTCTTTGATGTGATTTTAAATATTTAGCGATTTTCTATATGATATATTGAATAGTATTTATGTTGTTACTTTTGCATGCTGATTTTCATCGTGGAAACTTTAGAAAATAATTGTGTAGAATTCTTTTTAAGAAATGCAAATTGAAATAATATGTGATAATCAGAGCTTAATGTTTTGAAATAAGTTGTACAAAATTCATAAAAGTATGATTTAATTCTTATTAAAAAAAGACATGCTATCATATGTTAAGCATATGTTAAGCTTAATTTGTTAACAAGATAATATGATAATTTTATTTTTTTATCTTTAGAGATGACTTGGTTGAGTTGAGGGCTGAAATAGAGCCAGAAGAGTCATCTTCAACAGAGGATGAAGATGTTGCTATAGAGAATAGGTAGCTTAAATAGTTTTAATATTATTGAGATTAATTATTTTAAACAAAATTTTATACACTTAGTAATTTTTAAGAGCACATTCTACCTTTTTTGTGCAAACTTTCGTAGTGAAATGAATAGAAATATATATTTACAATTTATTTAAAAAGTGCAAAACAAAAAAATTTGTTCTGATGAGAACAAGATAAATTACAAAAAATAAATATGAAGCATAAGCGAAAATGTATGAAATGGTTTTTAAAAAAAAATAATTTTACTTNAAATCTTGCTACCACTTTTTATTTATTTTTTTAAAAAAAATTATGGGTTATTTTTACTTCACTTTACAAAATAGTAAGTTTACGCAATGAATTATTTTAAGACAACGCAATTCCCAAGTGATGCTGTAAGTAAATCTCTACTAAAGCCGAAAATTGGCGTCATTCCATTTTAAAGCCTTTGTTTTTGTAGACTCATCTAAGAATTATGAAATTCGGTTTCAAGGATTAATTTTGCAAGCTGTACCGAATGCAATAAAAAATATAATACAGGGGTTGGGCAAAATAATGGAAACGCTTCCATACTAATTAAAGCTTTAATACTTCTCAAGAAATGCTTAGAGAATTATTTTAAGATTTTGGAAATATTAGGTCATACAATTTCTCATACATATCAATAAAGTTTAAAGCTTTTAAAGGCTTGAGGGACCGACAATAAATTACGAGCGAAAAAGAATGATATACCAAACAATATAGTGAGAAGCTTGTAACTAATGTCAATTAAGTTGGTCATATAAATGAAATAACTACACATAATTTCGTGAACCTAGCAAATATTAATGAAGATATGGACATTTTTATTTTTAAAAAAAATGAAAATAGATTTACGTTTTTCTTTTCTATAACTGCTGAAATATTCAATGTGATTAAACAAAATTTTTAAAGTAATTTTTAACTAATAATAAATATCTTCTTAAAAACTAACTGTTCAAGAATCATTTTTTTTTTTGTGGACTGTACTACATCAGTATAATAGTGAAATTGATGCCGATACTTAAAAAGTTTAAAAAAGAACAACTTAAATTCCAAGAAAAATGTTCCGAAGCTCTTTAGTTTTAAGTGAATAGTGCAGAATTCCAAAAGAAACATTTTCGATGAATTTTTTTTGTCGTGCAATATATTTTAAGGAAGTTCGAATAATTAAACATTATAAGGACTTCCTGTTCACATTTTGCAGAAACATTGGGCTTAAATGCAATTTGTTAAAAATTTAAAATAATGGGAATGGTAAAAGGGGTAAATTTTTGGCATGGAAGTTGGAAGAAAAAGAATGAGCAGGGGCAAAGTTGAGTTGTTACTGTTTATACGCAGTTTGGAACTATGAATGCACTAATCCTTATAACTGAAAAAGTATTAAATTTTAAATATTTAGTAAACTAGTAATATTTTTGATCTACCATTTACGTTTTCATAAAAATCCAATGAAACCTAATATTCGTAAAATATGGAGAGAAAAACAATGGTTCTCAGATATGAATTTTTTAATTGGTTAACTGATAAAATTTTTTAAACTGTTTGAAAGTTTTACTAACCCCTATATTTTGAGGCAATTTGGGAAATATAGTCCTAATTGTTTGGTCTAGAGAGCAGTACAAAGTTAGACCACTTAAAGCTAATTTTACCCTTTCAGTATTTCGCTTTGCCTCAAGAATTTTTTAAGCGAATCGAACCAATTTAATTCCATGCAACAAATATTTTTTTACGATCAGGTATTATGTTTTATTTTTTTGTACAATAGCAGTCAGAAAAATTTGACTTGTAAGGTATACCAATTTTTACTTCACTTTACATATTATAAACTAATAAGGCAAAATGAAAAATTTCAATGAAATCGGTTGAGTACATCCAGTGAAATCGAATTTTAAAAAAGTCATGCATTTAAAATTTGATTTTTCATGGACTATTCGACCTATTTCCTGCATTTTTTAATATTTTTCCTTATTCATATATCCTTTAAAGTTATGTACGAATTTCTTTACCTCACTATTCAAATTTTTTCGACTTTTTTTAAACGAAATAATAATAAATGCAGTTATCAAAAGTTATTTTTCCCATTGTTTAAAAATGATTTTTTATGCAAAAGAGACAAGCGAAAAAAAAAATAGCTAGCACAATTTCTGCTTTTTGTTTTCCAACAGCATTATATGATAGAGAGGAAAGATGAGAACTAAATTAAGGAACTTAATGGAATTTATCCTTAATGAATTGGATCGTATGCGATACAACACTTAAGTTCGAAAAGAGAGCTAACACGTTACTGTTTTGCTAATTTGTTCCATTAAATTCTCCCCCCAGTTTCTTCCTCTCGTTTTTATTCTTTAGTATCGCATGACCTAGAAATGTTGATTTGCATATTTTAATTGAGATCAATTTCGTTAATTTGCGTAGATTAAAAATACTGCCCTTAGGAAATGCATTTTATACATTGCAGCTATTTTCAAAAGCTAGCGCATGGAGAAAAACATTCTGGTGTAATTTCCATACTGAACAAACATAAATAACATAACGGTAAAACAATGTTAATTTTGGTACTAAATATCAAAATAATATACAGTATTTAAACTATTCATTAGGTAATTCTTCTTTTCATATCGGAACAATTTTCTGGAAATTTGGGTTTCAAAAATTATAGTTCTTATTACCAAACATTTAGTGAAAAGTACAAAACTGAAAAGTAAATTTAACTTAATAAATGGTTCTTACACTATTTTTTAATGTATCATGAGAAAATTAACAAACTTTATCAAGCATGAATTTTCTAAAACCATATTTTATTGTTAATTTTACAAAAATCCTTACCAAACTGCTTCGAAAAAATTACCAAGCTTTTTGGTTTTTCCATAGACGCAGAAACGCGGTAAATTTTTAACAAATTCTGATAATTTTAAACACGCTTTTTTTTTTGAGTGGATTCAATGAAATATTTAAAGTTTTTATGCTTTTGAAAATATTGTTTCCATGCTTTAAATGATAAAAGAGAACGATACATAAAGTCTACTTTTGAATATATATGGATAGAGGAATATTATTACAAAGTTAATGTAAAATAAATGTTTTTGACATAAATTTGAAATTTGCAAGCATTTAATTTAAATTTCTACTACATTTTATTATTGATAAATCTTGTTTTCTACAAAAAAACATTTTTAAGATATTACGTTATAACCTTAACAATTAATTATTCAACACTAAAACTTTTTTTAATGTCTACCCGATTGACACTTGTCATTCAGCCATCCATGCCTTGCCCGGGATTCTAACTCAGGATCTCTCTGAAGTGTGGTCAGTTCCCGGACTATACACAGTCTGGTCATCAAGCGTTTTATCTCCGATGTCCACCCGATTGACATTCCCCATTCAGGTATCAGTAGGACAGATATGGAGGCCACTCTTCCAGAGGCACCATATTAGGTGGGCCAACGTTGCTCTCTCAGTAGAGGTAGATAGTTCAGAGACAGAAAGAACATTCCATGCCGTGTTCAGGATTCCAACCGAGAATCTTTCTGATGTGAAATTAGCTCCCAAGTCACTGCAAAGTCATGTCTCTATTCTAATACTAAATGAATGAAATGAAACTAGTGTTCAAAGTATGATTCTAATTAAATTTAATTTTACAGTAAATTTATACTTTCCTTTACGTCTTACATCATTTTGTTAATTTATTAATGTATCATTATAAGATCCACGTTTTAAATAATGGCAGGAAATAAGATTTTCATTTAGAAATCTTTAGTTTATGTGAAAAAGAACTTATAAATACAATAAATCAAATAAAATAAATTTAATTAAACTTTTTAATTAGGCCTAATTATTGCATAAACATGTAGGTATATTGTGTGTCAAAGTGCATTTTTTGCGAATTGCAGGATATATTTTTCAGCGTATTTCATCACATTTTGGTCATGGAAGTTATTTATATGCCATAAAATCTTCGAAAATTTAAACTGAAAATTTAGACTCTTACCTTTCTAATGATTTTTCATTGTAATTAAAAAACCTCAACCATCTAACCCTCGAGGGAAAAAAATTACATAAAAACTTACAATTATATAGGATAATAGGAGCTCAAATTACATAGGATTAAAATTGCACAGAAACTCAAATCCGAAAATATCATCGTACACAGCAATAGAGGCTTCCGTATTAAGAACTGTTTCTTCGTGCGTTTCTGAGCAGGTCATAATAGGGAAGATCCCATAGCAATATTTGTGCGACCTCTTGTTATATAAAACGTTTTTACACTTGTTTATTTCTACAAATCATAGACTAAAAATGTAATTTAAAAAAAATCGGTAGCTTTAGGAGCAAAATTAATTTAAGATCCCCACACACGAATTAGGCAAAATGAGTAGTATATATGCATATTTTGTATATATATATATATATNAAGACACTAAATACAAACCTAACCTCTGTCTTCAATAAAAATATTTTTAAGCAATTATCGAATGCGAATAAAGTGACTGAAAACTAAAGAAGAAAATTGACTTACAGTAATATTAGAACTGAGTGAAAACACTA